ATAACAATTAAGAATCTCTTCTGTATTACTTTTGTTCAAGAAGAAGAAATTAGGATACACACAAAAGGAACAATTACTGTCAGTCCCATGCAAAAAAGAGGTAAACAACTGACATTAAAAGTGAAAGTTCTAAGGTGTAATTCTTTTATATTTTACGTGTATTTTTGGTAATTGTATGTGGAGAAAAGATTAAAAAACAATAAATATATAGTGTTAATATTAAGTAATTCAAATAATAATTTTTTAAACCAAAATTTAGTGAAAGAAGACATGTTTAAAAGTAAAGAAAATTATTGAGTTCAACAAAAACATAAAATATTTGTGATAAATAACACACTTGTTCTAATATTAGACCCGAGTATAAGAAGTTAGACTGAAAAAGTTATTAATTTGCACAAAGAATAATAACCTGTAAGAAGGAGGATTCTTAGGCCAGAAATGGTAGTTTATAGAAGAAAGTGGCCATACAATATGGAATAAATGGTCCACCCAACCCTTTTTGCCATTCACCTCGTTTGAAAGTTTTGTGCCATACCCTTCTAAAGAATCAGACCTCATAGGCTTAGCATATAGCTCCTTTTCTTCTTGGGATAACTCAAAGAACTTTTTGCCTACATTTTGTAACTTCCTTATAACTTCACTGGGTATCTCATGGTTCACAATTTGAAACATACCCCAATCCCTAGATGCCTTCACAATCTCATACATCACCTTCTCTTCATCTGGGTCACTTAAATTAATAATGGGAACCTCAAGATTCACCCCTTGAACTGTTGTGATGCCTGGTTGCTCTGTCTCTGACCTAACAAACATGGCTAGGATTGCATCATCTTTGAACTCAGAAGCTATGGTTTGCACCCTTAATGTCTCCATGTTGTTCAATTGTCACACTCTTTGTTTTGAATCTTGAATTTTATAGAAAAATCCACTTCCTACCAAACTACATTAAGAATCACATTCATGATCAATAAATATATTTTTAAAATATATTATATTAATTTTAATATATACGAATAAGATATAAATAATTTTAAATTAATATAAAAATTTATAAATATGACATGTGATTAAAATTTGATTATTCAATAAAAATTTATTAAATAGTATATATATATATATATATATAAAGGAATCAAATTAGACTAGTATTTATATTCAGTTTTACATTATTTAATAACTATTTATAAATACGTTATATGAGCAGTAATCAAATTATACTGGTATAGGTAATATGTATTCTTACTACATTGGATGATTTAATTTAAAATTTAACTATTAAATTAAAATTTCTAATCATATAAACTGTGCAAAATTTTAAATTAATCTAAAAATATTTAATATTTTATTTTTATATAATATATACCTTTAAAAAATAAAAAGCTTTAATTGCATGACCTTTATACTTGCAAGCTATGGTTTAATCCCTTTTCCATGCTGTGCGCTATAGTTTCCTTCTCTCACTTTTTTTATCAAGTTGGTAAGAAGAGATGTTGTGACACTCTTGAAGTTGAGTCTTGAATTTATAGAAAAATTTGCCCCCAGCTAAAGCACATGAAGTCTCATGAATAATAAATAAAAAGTTTAGTTATATTTTTGTATTATTTTATATTAAATAAAAATATGTGTATTTATTACTTCAAGAATCTTACTAGCTATTATACTGGTTACAAAATCAAAAACAAATTTTTTTTATTAAAAATCACATCTAACTGTATTAAAAAGGTCTCGTAAACATTGATTAGATAATTAAAAATGGAATTATAATATATATATATATATATATATATATATATATATATATAGATAAGTGAATTAAAAATCATAAAAGAAACTTATTAATTATATTTTTTTAAAAAAAATATTTTATTTTAATTTTTTAAAACACTAATAAACGTTTGCTAATTAGGAAGCATATCAATGAATGGCTGAGACTTGCGATAAAAACTCCTATTATTGATAAAATTGGGATGCAATACACGGATGCAAGTAATTTGCGTATTCGTGACGCTTAAAAAGATACTAGAGTTTAAAAAGAAATGCAAGTATTACAAGAGAATGGTTTTAATAATAATTTATTTGTTAATATTAGCCTTTAAAAATTTTAAACATTTTAAAAAAAAATTGTTAAAAATTATTTATAATAGTTTTATATTTTTTATATAATAAATATTTATTTTTTAAAACATTACTATTTTAATAGTAAAATTAATTTTAATAACTGATTTTAATCAAAAATTAAAAATGAGAGATGGAAAAATTAATAAGCAATTTCAATTTATATGAAGATTTTCATTTTATTACTTTTGTTATTTTGTAAAATAATAAAATAAAATATATGTTTCAATACATATTTTTATTTCTTTCTTCTTAACAACAAAGAATAAATTTGTATTAAAGTTATGTTTGTGAGTTACAAACATAAAATTAAATGTGCAAGTGGATGGATGGTCCTAATGAGGAAGTGATATAAACAAAAGGATGATCTCCTCTGCACCACTCTCCCTAGTCCCTACCCCCACCCAACAACCTCCATACTTACCTTCTTTCCCTTCTACCCAACTTCCCCCACCTCCACCCAACCCCTATATTCACATGCTTCCTTCGTTTTTTTGCTCTCTTTTCACATAGAAGATGATGATTTTGCAAAATTTGCTCATTTTTTTGTAATTTTTATATTTTTACTTAATCAATTCACTCATATCATGTTATTGTCACTGCATGAAAAAATATGATTTTATAATATTATAAGTCTGTTGGCTGGTCAATACACTTTAGGCATGTCTCTCAAATTCAGCAACCAAATTAGTGACTTAATTTAATTCAACTCCTTTTGTAATGTAAATATATATATATATATCAATACTAATTTAATGGATTAGTTTACTAAATTAAAATATAGTAAAATAAAAAATTACAAAATATATATATTTATATGTATTAGTGTATGTATATACATCGATTCAGCCGTTAAATTATAATTATATATTATTTAAATTATTTGTATTTATTTAAATTAAATACTTATAAGATTATTATTGAAAGGCCTTTATTTTGATAAATTTAAATATATATTATATTAATTTAATATATACATATATAACTTATGTTATTGAAAATTTTAATTTAACTGATAATTTTAAAAGTAAATTATCTCTCAAAAATATAATATCTTTATTATTAATTATCATAAATAAAATCAATTTTATCAATCTGCATGTAGCACAAAAATTAAAACTTGTTTCATGTATAAAAGTGTCTATTGTCAGACCCAAGTTTCTATGGCCACTCAAATGTAAATTTATGTAAAATATCCTTTGGTATAGTAATAATAGAGAAAGAAAATAATATTTTACATAAAAATCACTTAAATGATGGTGATAAATGATATATAAATATGACTATAAACATATCCTTCGTTTACACGTAGGATAAAAATTACATGTTAAAGGAATAAGTATTTACAAAAATTAATTATAAGAGGATATCATTTTCATCCAAATTTATATATGGATAATTTATCTATAAAAGTTTATACACACTACGTATTTATACCTATGTAAATGATATAAATATAGAGTAAATATTAATCAGAATTTTAATAATATTAATTAAATATTATTAATATGCTTTTATTATAACTTTTAATACATTTTAGATTATAACTTTTAATAAAATATCTTAATTATTAATTACTTGATTATTATCTTGATAACACTAAGTAAGACCTTATAATTATACATTTGTATATTTTACAACTATAATTTAAAATATATTCTAATATTTTTAAATTGAGTTAAATGTTATAGTTTAAATGAATATTTTTTATTGACTTTAAATACAATGAAACCCTACAACACTTATAATTAATAAATGTCACATTAAAAAAAAAACAGATAACGTATTTAAGCGTATGTTTAAATAATAAATTCATCAATTTTGATATTATTTGAATAATAAAAATTAAATATATAATTTTAAAATATGATAATAATAAAATATAATTTTAAAAATAAAACTATATAAAAATAAATAAGTAAAATAATCTTCAAAAAACTATATACAGAACATTTAAATCTTTGTGCAGTTATTTTATTAAAATTATACCTATAAAAAATATAATTCTTTCAGGTGACCCAAACCATATCATTTAGCTGAAAATTATTTTTCATTTAACATATTTACATAAGTTTTATTTCATATTATGTATTCAATTAGATTATTTTATTTTATTCTACTTCTCCAAACACACTTGAAATTTCTTCCAAAAATTCTAGTACTGCACTGATGTTCAAACGAACACTTTCAGATCTTAACAGAATTAAATTGCATCAAACAAAATTGGAGAATTTGTCGTTGAGGAATAAGAAAAGAATGGCTAGTTCATATTTTTAAGGCTAAAAATTAAGTCACTTAATAATTTTTTATATAATTCAAAGATTTAATAATTAAATAATTATTTAATTTTTTTATTAAATAGATTAATTTTTAAAAAAATAAAATTATTAGATATTTCATTATATGACTTTTTTCCGACATATGATATAATTTTAAAATATAAATAAATATTAAACTTTGATTTAACATACCTACAAATATAAGATAATTTAACAATTTAATTAGTCAATTTACTATTTTATAAAAATTATTAAATAGTATAAATATTTAAATTTATCATCTAGTATAATTGAATACTGACTCATTTAAATTTCATATAATATTTTAAATTTTACACAATTAAACCATAAATATAATAAGCAAACCCATTCACTTGGATGTTGGAACTCCATCGTCATAGTAGGGTGTATATCCGCCACCAAAAATGTTAGAAAACGCGTATCATTTTACAAATAAAAATAGAACTCTCAAAGAAAACTACATGTAACTGCTGTTAACGAATTAAAGTCTGAACCCGCGCCCACGGTGAAGAAAGTTCTATAAGGGATATAATTCGTAGTTTGGTCATTTGAAAACAATCAACATTCACAACATTCATTATTTTGATATTTCAGCCTATGCCCACATGTAAAGCCCGAAAGTTACTAATATTTGCATTTAATACAAGGCATATAGACAAATGGGGATGGATAACGCTTAGCCACAGCAAGAACCGCAGGCAGGCAGTGAACCTGGAAATTGGATAAAAGACAACCCAAAAGAGAAGAAATGATTAGCACAGGAAAACTAGAAAGGCAAAATAAATATCCGAATAAAGCAAAGAACGAAAGCAATGCAGATAAATTAAACTTACTATGGTCACGTCCCCTAATACTATCTAACCCACGAACATTGTCAAGACCGCCACGGGGAGGGCCTCGCGGGCCTCCACCATATGGTCCACCACCACCACCTCCACCAGGTCCTCCTCCTGGAGCACCTCCATCCCATTTCTTACCAACAGAACCTTTTCTGTAGGCATCTGACTTTTCCATCTAAAGATGAAAACATCATGAGCATGTTCAATACAGTGACCGCAGATTCATCCTAAACTCTATAATTGGAATCAAGAAACATAAGTATTACCGAGAACATTGTTGCAAAAAAGACGCCTATGAAGTTAACAATGGCCCAGAAAAAATCAGTGATTGTTTTAAGTCGCCATATTGATCGCTTTGATTTTACAACACCTGCACAAAATTTTACGAAGCTCCACTTATGGATCAATATCAACTTACATAATCATTTTGCGATGTCAAGAAAGAAACTATCTGTAGCAGATCTATTTTGGACAATTCGACACATCAATTCATACAAGCTGAAAATCTGTTCATACATTAAAATGAAGTACAATATAACAGGTATTGAGTTTTAAAGGCACAACAGCATAGCTGGTAGCCTTAGTTTCATGCTCAAGTTTCTATCAGTAATGCTATCAAATTATGCAACTACAGCAAAGAGAACATATAATTACATCAGGCCTAGCATCAGAAAAAAACGAGTCAGGATCAAAACTTCATACTCATCCTTAAAACTCTAACTGGGCAATCAAAATAGACACGGAACAATATTAAACAGAAAAATGAACATTTAAAATCAGATGAGCAGCTATAACCAGCAATTCGCCCCATGCAGAATATCATGACTGATTGAAAGGGTTGGTGAGTATCTCCACATTTTTACATCATAGGTAAAAAAAAATGGAATAGCTCTACATGTTTAGGGAAAAAATAGAGGAGCAAAAACTACAATAATTACAAAATTAACTCCTTTTTCAAGTGTATCAGTAACTTGCAACCACAAATTTGGCCATTTCAAGCAAATACTTTTGCAGTCACGGACATTTAGGCTAGTTATTTTAAGTACTTAGCTAACAATTAATGGAATACCAAAAACAAAGAAATAATGGCCAAAACAAAAAATGAGCAATTGATATAATTGAACATATGAAAGATTTCAGCTGTCTATGTAGTCATCATATTTCAGCATTATTAAGTGAAAAAACAAGTTAGCCAAAATGAGAAAGGGAGGAATGAAAACTAACATACAAAAGAAGAAAAACAGAGATAACAGAAAGATGTGCAAGGGAAAGAGTGCAGGTGTATTCGCATCAGACAAACTGAGCATGAAATGGGAAGAAAAAAGATACCTCATTTCTTTCACTTTAAACCTAGAAGATATTAACCCCAGTGCAAAAGAAAATAAGCAGTTCATATGTTAGGTAACCCCCATTAGTAGTTTGTTTAAATAGATTACGTAGTTATACTAGAGGGTTAGTTAGTTTGAACATGGCATGTTGCCTATAATAATATAAGGGGTTGAGAGGAAGATATTATCCAGTGATTTGAGAGGAAATACAAATTGTTGTGAGTCTAAGCCTCTTGAAAGTCCTAGAAATCATTTACATTCTTTTCAATTAAGATTTAGTAGAAACTTTTCTTTCTACAGTTCTGATCCAGTTCTATCATCATACTTCATATCTGAATTAATATTCTACATACTATTGAAAAAGTTATTCATTAATTCAATAACATTTTGCATTCCCCAAAATCCCAACATTGACTGCTTACGATAGTTAAATTAAAAGGAAAGATTATTACGGCGATAACCCTTTTAGAAAATAACAAATTTGCAAAAGCTATACAGAACATCTCCATAATTTACCTCCATGCCTTTTCTCAATAAAAATGGTATTCTCTAAGGGAATAAAAAAGAGTAGAAGATAAGACAGAAATAAGCAACAGAAAAGGACAAATCCATGATTTGCCAATGCCCCCTAAAACAAATCCAAAGAAATTGATCGAAATAGAAGCCCTTGGTTCACCAACAATAACCTCCAAATAGATGTAACTGTTATTTACTCCAGCACCTCCACTACTTAGTCTTCATTATGCAACCACCTTCCCCAATAAATACTATCTCTGCATTACTGTCATTACTCATTACATCGGATTCAAAACTAACGAAAACTCTCCAGTGTGACAATGTTCGTATATCTTTGAAATTACTGGTATACCAATTGAAATAGAAAACACTACCCACAACCCTTTTAAAATTAGAGATGAAAATCCCTCATTGAGAAGAGCTGGGCCACACCAATCTGTAGAGATAAATGGACCATATATTCTCTGAACATCAATTGATTAATAGGTTCCCATTTTACTTAAATGTTTCTGGTTTTCAAGTTAGTTATGAATGATCAATCTCTGAGCTTTGTGCAGACTTTCTATACAGAATTAGGTGAGTTCACAACAGTCTGTACTAAACAACCATTAATTGAGGATGATTATGTTTTTTAAGAGTTTTATCAAAAAGGAGTCAACGAGTCAAGCTAATGGGTATTTCCTGCGTTAACTTTCAGAGGGTTATTGACTATAGAAGCTGATATTCCTAACATACATTTTGAGATGAATGTAAAAATCGGCACTGTTTGAGAATAATATGCGGAAAAATTCCATGCACATTAAAATGACTCTGCTCAATGACCTCGATATTTGATGCTTTAAGATTTGTGACATATAAAACGGGTTAATTAAAATAAAATAAAAAAGAGTAATTTCATTTGATGGGTTATAAAAAAGAAACAGTATCAGTATAATTCTCAAAATATAAATGAAAGTTAGCAATCATCGAAAGTTAGGACTTCGGAGTTTTAAGAATTCGGACGCTTATTCTGAAAATGAAAACAAATATTAAAAAACATTGGATCTGAAACAACACATAATAGCTTCCATAAATCCAAGTCCCAATGATGAATCAGAACCTAAACCTAAACGGTAATAGAAAAAAAAGGGGGGGAAGAGGGGGGGGGGGGGTGGTTGATATGAATGAGAATTGAGAAGAGGAAGATACCTCGCTCAACGTAAGCCATGGGACAAAGATGGAAATTGCTGCAATTGAAGGGAAAGGAAAACTGGGGATATCGATATCTAAATTTTATGCAATTCAATTGATTCATATTATTATATCTGCTTATTCAATTCAACGGTGTTCTAGACTCGAAGTCCGTTCTAGGCTTTACGCGATTTTCCACTTGATGTACCCGTGTCTTGTTCTTATTGGATGAACAACCAACCGCCAATATGCCATTGGCATTTGAGACGTGGCCCGTGGGCCGAAATGGGCCTGCCCCTTAAACGCGGCCCGCCTTAGTGTTCGGTAGTAATTTCCGCACTTGGAAAAAAAATTATTAAAAAATATTTTAAATTACATTAAAAATTATTCGAAGCGATGTGTTTATTATATTTTTTTCAAATAAATTATACTTTTAGTTTCTTAATTAATGCTTTATTTTGATCATAGATAAAGGTTAAGTTATAAAGATAAACTTTTTAAATATATGCTCAAGAAATTTACAAAATATTAATTTTTATTCAAATATAATATTTAATATTAGTTATACATTAAATAATGTGATAGTCTGTTATTTTTAATAAATATTTTTTATATAAAATTTATTATTATTATTATTATTATTAAACACATGTTAAAAAATATATTAATATTATTTTTTAAAAATTAATAAATTATTAGATATTTTACTAAATTTTGCTTATATTATAACAAAAAAGGAAACTGTCAAATGGTTTATTTAAATGTGCCTATTTTTATAAATGGCATTTATTTTTTAAATATGGATATGTAAAAACAGGCTAAAAAATAAAATACACAAAAGATAAAAATAATAATATTATACTTGTATCACATGTGATTTTTTAGCAATCCAAATAGTAAAAATTGTAAATTAATGGAGATCAGCTACAATATTATCGTAAAAGTACCATCTTTTTTATATATTATTATAAATAAAAATGCTATATTATGAGAAAAAAATGTCTTCTCTACTATAAATAAAAATGATATATTATGATGGAAAAATGTCTTCTCTGTGTTGTTGTTACAATGATTTGTTAAATAATTTTTAATTTTAGGTATTCAATATTTTGTCATTCTTAATGAGAAAATAATATATATATATATATATATATATATATAATTAAATAACATAAATTTGTTATTAGAACTAACTTCAACAAAAAAAAAACACATTCTATGATAATTAATTTTAAAAAATTTGAAAACTAAAATAAAAACTAACTATATTTGCAAAGATTAAAAATATATTTAAATAAAATTTAAATTATAAAAATAAAAAAATACTTACATGTACAATGCATAAATACATAATCTAGTTATAATAAACTTTAGTGTGATACTGTGTTTCACATTTTGAAAAGAGAGAGAGGTTAAATCATTTCTTTAGATAATGATGGAAAGTTTAATAATATAAATGATATTACTGTCTTTTATTTCTTTTATTCATATTTTTTTATTTTTTTAAAAAATAAAAAAGTAAATATTTTTCTCTCTAAAAATTAATAATTTTAAAATTATTTTTTAAAAAATAAAAATAAAAATTCTAATCATAAAAGAGTATAAGAGAGTGAAAAAAGAAAAATTCCAAAATAGAAATCTTAAAAAACTAGTGTACAGAGAATTTTTTAAAAATTTAAAAAAATTCTAAAAAATCTTTTAATTCTTCTTTTCTTAATTAAGTAACTTACAAAGGTTTAAACTCCTTTAACTTTTCCCTTCTCCTTTCCTCTCCTTCCTTTTTAAACTAATTCCCAAACATTGCCCAAGACTCTTAATATTTAAAAAATATATAAAATTATTTTAATTAAAAAAACTTATTTAATATCATAATATTTAAAATAAAAATTCAATAATAGGCAAGTTTTTATGAAATAAATTAATAGTTAAAATTTCTAAAATTATTATGATATAAAAAAATGAATAATATTAACCTAGAATAATATGATTATTAACTTTGAAAATTAATATTGTGACACCTAAATAATGTCAATTTGGACTAATTAATAAATTAAAGTTAATTAAATAAATTATTTGTTTAAAGAAAAGAAAAAACACCTAAAAATAAATTAACCACTCGTAACCAAGCGGGACAAAGCCATACTAATTACATCCTTATGTATCAAAGGTTTGAGCTTGAGAAGAATGTCCTCTAACACATGATCACTTAAGGACAAGAAATGATCCATACTAGCTAGAAAATATGCACATTTATTAGCTTCCATGTAAAGATGAGCAATAAAATATGACCAATTTAAATCAAGGAGCTTTCAAATCTCTTTTATAATTTTAAAAACAATAATGTCCCTTCGAGCAACCATTACAAGCAAAATTAGAAGTACTCAAACAATCTACTTCCACCCATAACACTTGGATACCTAAAAAGTGAGTAAACTTGAGACCTTTTACAATTCCCTATAACTTTGCATGAAGTATCGAACAACAACCCAAGTTGGAGATAAAATATTTGATAGACTTCTCAAAATTGTCTCTCAAAATACCCCCACACGTCACCTAACTTGAATTTAGCATTGTTAAACCATCCACATTTGACTTAGTTACATTACCACATAGAGCTACTTATCTAATTTTTTACATAGTACGAGTTTTATTAGTGATAACCTTTCCTAACATATCATTCTTCTTCATGCATGTAACAAAGTTCATCACATCCCATTTTAGCAACTCTAAGATTTTAGACTTTTGATCGAAAACTATATCATTTCGGTCTAGCCATATTTATTAAGCCCCAACTATGAACATATCCTACCAATGAACATTGTCTTTAAGCTTGAAAGATTTAAAGGTTGAATCATAACCAATCATGAATGCCATAGCTAAAAAATCTATCCCAAAGAGTCTTCATGGATATAGGTTTTCCAATAATCTTTAGCATATGGGTAATCTCTCAAAACATGACTTATGTTCTCACAAAGATTCTAACATCTCAGGCACTACTCACAATGGATCCCCTTATGAGATAGCTCAACTCTCATGGCCAAACTATTGTACCACAACTTCTATACATGAAGCTTGACTCTAGATGAGCTATGCCACTTCCAATGAGTTTCTTACTCAACGTATGTTATTCTAAACAGAAGTAGCATTTATTAGCAGATAAAATGATCGGATAAAAAACATATCATTAGCCTCCAAATGCCAAAAGATTGTATATGGGTCTGCTTCTTCATTAAGAGGTATAAAGCCTGCAAGACAGTTAATCACTTGGGTTGGGATAATATTCCTGATGAGATCCTTACTCCACCATCATTTACTGTAAAGGATGATGTAGAATAATTATTCATCCAATCTAAAAATATCTCAAGTGACATAACTTTTTAAAGGTTTCATGCCTGAAAGGAATTTATCTTTCAAAAAATACAATGAGTGACCATTTCTTAGCATCCAACATAGCCTTTTATCAAGATATTGTCATATTCTAGTCATAATTTTTCAACACATTGAATCTCTAGACGTGGCATGTGTAGTAGGAATCTCTTGAGATCTACATTTATATTTAGCTTTCATGAGGGAAACTAAACACTACTAGAAATATGCAAATTATAGACGTAAAAAATCCATCTATAATATAGATGAGTTTATATACAGAAAATAGAAAAATTAGTTTTTTAAATTTTTGGATAAATTTGTCTATACTAAAGACAGACAAAATTTGTTTGTAAAATTTGTCTATAAATTTAGACAAATTTTTTTCTTTCTATATTATAGACAGATTTACAGACAAAAATATGTCTATAATTTTACAAACGAATTTATAGACAAAAAAAATTAAGATGCAATTTTACAGGCATATTTTACAAACTAATTTTTTTCTATTTGTATTTCAGACAAATTTAAATACTAGTTTTTTTATCTGTAATTTGAAACTATTTTGCACCTAGACGGTAAAATTTATTTGTAACTGCATTAATGAAACACAACATTCCATGAATAGAGTTACAAATTAATTCTTTCATCTATAAGTCAATTAATAAAATGCTAAATTTAATCAATGCACTTACAAATAAAAAAATCGTCTGTAATATGCAAAATAGAATAAAAGCACGTCTCCTTCCTCTTCTTCCTCATTTCTTTATTTTCTTGTCTCTCTAATCTCTTTCTAACATCTTCGCTTCCTTGCGCATTACCAGTAGTTTGAGCCTCCATTTTGCAAATAAATTGTGTCATTGTGTTTCTAGTATTATAATCTAACTTTTAATCGATTTTTTTTCTCTATTTTTTGTGTAGGATATATACTTTTTTGTTATAAAATATTTATTACAAATGGATCACACAAGAGAAAGGGGTAGAAAAAGATGTGTTTGGTGGGGTGATATAAGAACTAACAAAATAATTGTTATAAATTAATTTATTATAGACGAAAAAATTTGTCTATAATTTTACAAATGGTAAAATTTATCTATAATAAATATAATAGACAGAAAAATCTATCTGTAAACTTATAAACAGGTTTATAGACAGAAAAATTCATCGATAAATTTAGAAATAAATTCCGTCCATAAATTTGTCATTACAAATGGATTAAAAAATATGTCTATAATATTAAAATCCATTTATTATCATTTAAAACTCGTCGATAAAATCCACCTATATAATGTAAAATTATGGTAGTGTAAAGAAACAATTGGATTTGGTCATCCCTTAACATATTAACCATAGAAACCTCATTAATTTTCTAAAGACTATGAAAGCCTAATACATTTTCATCTTTTGGTTTTCATATAATAATCTATGAAATGATATAGATCTTCTTTTTATCATTAAAGGATTATTCGTCAGTAAGTGTACATGTCAAAAAGTAATAGAGTTTTAAATTAAGTTTTCAAAATATTGTTTTACAAAAATTGTACTCAAGTACCAAAAAAATTTTAATTTAATTGTTCGAATTAAAGAGATAGATACTAAAAATAAACCACTTTATTCAGTAATTTAAAATAATAAAAAAACACATTTTGTATTACTAATTAAAAGAGAACCTAGGGTGTATTGTTTTACTTTTATACGTCTTTATGTTTTTGTTTACTCTAAATCTAATTGCGATTTCCTTAAGATTGTCAATTACTCATACAACTTTTATTAACATCCAATTATCATG